CGTCGAACGTGACGTCCTGGGAGGACAGAACACGTCGAGAGGTGGGGTGGTAGAACTGCCACCCAGGGGCGTCGGGGGGGAACCCCAGGAAGACGCAGGGAGCAGCGCGAGGGGACAGCTTGTCCGCAGACAAGTCGCGGACAAACGCCCGAGATCCCCAGACCCGGAACGCCGACGCATCGCCAATCTTCCCCGTCCACAGCAGGGCTGGGGAGGTCTCCGGCCTGCAGACCCTGGGGTGGAGGTTGATCTGATGCGCGGCGTACCTGACCGCAAACGGCCACAGAAAATGGGGGGCAGCCGCATGCATCATGGACGTACGGGCGACGTCCATGACCATGCCAATGCGGCGCTCAGCAATCCCATTTTGCTGCGGGGAGTCCGGAAGCGTGAAGGACTGGCGGATGCCTCGCGCACGACAGTAGGCACGCAGAAGGCCAGAGGAGAACTCTCCGCCTCTGTCCGAGTGCAGACGCAACACAGGAAAGTCGGAGCCAAAGCTCTGCCTGAGCTGAAGACGAGCTGCGCGGATCCAGTCGATCAGCACCTCAGTGACCTCACCCTTGGTGCGCAAGGGGAAGACCGTGGTGTAACGCGAGTAGTCGTCAACAACGAGCAGGAAGTAGCGCTCCTGACCCTGTCCACGGACGCGGGCGGGGCCCCACACGTCCATGTGAAGCGTCTGCAACGGGGCCTCTGTCGGAGGAAACTGGGAGGAGTGAGGGGCAGCACGCTGGCGCCCCTCGACACAGGGGACACAGGCAGGGCCAGGGCCCTGAGGAAGGGGAGGTAGAGACCGGGGGAGACCAGACACAAGAAGACGGGAGGCCATGCCTCTGAGCCGAAGCAGAGAGGGGTGGCCAAGGCGGTGGTGCCAGAGGAGGGTCTCGTGAGACAGACGACGACATGAACAGGGGGCAGACTCAGGACCAGACCTGGACGCTGCGGCAAACACCTGACCAGACGAAGGGACCCTACCAGACTCAGCACCTGGAGGAGAAGCAGTGGTCAGTGTGTACAGGCTCGACCCTGGCCGACGTGTAAACGTAGCCAGGTGGCGTCCCGTGCTAGCCTCCGTGCAGTGGGTCACTCGCTGACGAGCAGGAGTGAACTGGTGGACACCCGCATCCTGTAGGTCAGCACCACTCACCAGGTTCGTCGAGAACGAGGGGAGGTAGAGACCAGACAGGGTGCCAGAGGGGGCCGCAGGACACGGAAGGACCGTGGAGAAGCGAGACAGGACAGGCCCCCCAGAGGGGTCAGCCAGGGACACCGCAACCGGCCGACTCAGCGGCGTGAGAGTGGTGCGGTCCCGAAAGAAGGAGCGAGACGCTCCAGAGTCAAGGGTGAAGGTGTGAGAGGCCGAAGCCGACACAGTACCTGAGAGGGCAAACTCACCAGTACCTGAGAGCACAGACGCACTGGCACCTAGAGCAGCAGCCTCACTAGCACCTGACGCAGCAGTACCAATGCCCGGGTCGGGCGGGAAACACCGGTAACAGTCATCCTCATCACTACCAGTCACAGCATACATAGCAGAAAGAATAGCATCAAAGTCAAGATCATAAATGGCTACACCAGCCCTAGACAGCTCCCCCCAGCGGGGGATCTCAGCGGCCTCCGGAAACTGCTGACGCCAGGCGTCGGTCAGGCGGCCAAAGCAGCGGCGGGCTGCGTGGGTGCCTCCACACCTCTCCCCCGCACGGTCACCGGTGCGAAGAACGTAGGGGCAGGGACCAAACGCACCACCACGCTGACGCTGCAAGTACCACTCACGGAGCTGCTGAGGGGCGGGGACGGTGCGAGAGCGCTGGTGCTGCTGCTGCTGCTGCTGCTGCTGCTGCTGGCGCTGGCCACCCCCAGAGCTGCTCCGCTGGGACGAGCCACTCCGACCCCCGCCGCCACCGCCACTCCCGCCTCCACCGCCACCCCCGTCTCCACCGCCACCGCCCCCACCGGTACCCTCGCCCCCGCCTCCTCCGCCACCGCCTCCGCCGCCACCTCCGCCTCCACCGCCTCCACCAGTACCTCCACTCCCGCCACCACCTCCACCGCCACCCCCACTCCCTCCGCCACCCCCACCTCCTCCGCCACTGCCCCCTCTAGCTCCACCCGCTCCCTTGCCCCCCTTGCCCTTGCCAGAGCGGCGTCTACCGCTGGGGGCAGACGTCGCACCGACCGACTCAAAACCAGCGAGGTCGGCCGCAGCGGCAGAGGCGACAGAGGGCAGCAGGGGGGAAGGAGAACACCCCTCAAAGATGGGGGTGCGAGGGTCACCCCGAGAGGCCCCTACAGCGACGATGCTCTTCTCAGCCGCTAGCAGGGACTCCTCAAGGAGGTCGACAGTGAAGGTGGTGGGACAGACAGAGAGAAACTGGTCCCTAACGACACGAAGGGACTCAGGGAGACGGGTGACGAGAAAGTAGAGAGTGATGTACATGGGAGGAGGGTTTGCGGCGCGGAACTCAGCAGGAAGGGCAGCGCGGTAGCGAGCGTCACTAGCGCGGAGGTGGGTAACGAGGTCAGCGACAGTGGGAAAGGCAGCGAGGTCAGGGAAGAGAAACGGTAGCATGAGGCGGCTCAGCGTAGCGGAGGAAGGGGAGGAGTAGCGTGCAACTACAGCGTCGTACAAGGCCTGAGCGGTCTTGCACTGACTAAAGTGGGCACGCTCGGAGGAAGGGAGGTGGCGACGCACAGCAAGACGTGCAGCAGCATCGCGTGTGGCCCACTTGGAGCGAACAGCAGGGTCAGCATCAGCAGGAGGGGCAGGGACAGCTCCAGAGACAAAGTCAAAGAGAGAAACCTCATCGATCGCATCGCACAGTAAGTACAGCTGCAGGTCCTCAATCCAGACTGGAAAGTCAATGGCGCGACCCTCAGCGTCAAAAGACAGGACACTGGGGGTGGCCATTGCAGCAGCTGATTGTCTCACCAGGCACGAAGAGTCGGGTAGCACAGCGGCTCAGCAACTCGGCAGGACAGCAGCTGCGCACGCCTCGGAGCAGCAGCAGCCACACAGGAGCAGAAGCTCGGCTCCTCAGGTTGCCCGGGCGGCTCGGGCGGCTCGGGTTGCTGGGGCGGCGCGGGCGGCTCGGGCGGCTCGGGCGGCTCGGCTGTACGGGCGGCTCGTGCGGCGCGGGCGTCGCGACGGGCGGCTCGCTGGCGGCTCGCGGGCGGCTGCACAGGCGGCTCAGGGACGGCGGCGCGGGCGGCTCAGGGACGGCGGGTGCACGGGAGGCTCGGCGGGCGGCGTACAGGCAGCTCACGGGCGGCTGCGACGGGCGGCTCGCGGGCGTCGGGCGCTAGGGCGCTGGGGCGACGACGGGCGGCGCTCAGGCGTCAGGGCGGGCGGCCGTAAGGGCGAAAGGGCGGGCGGCGCTCGGGCGCTAGGGCGAGCGGCGCACGGGCGCTAGGGCGGGCGGCCGTCAGGGCGCTAGGGCGGGCTGCGCTCGGGCGCTAGGGCGGGCGGCGCTCGGGTGCTAGGGCGGGCGGCCGACAGGGCTCTAGGGCGGGCGGCCGTCAGGGCGCTAGGGCGAGTGGCGCACGGGCGCTAGGGCGGGCGGCCGTCAGGGCGCTAGGGCGAGCGGCGCACTGGCGCTAGGGCGGGCGGCCGTCAGGGCGCTAGGGCGGGCGGCGCTCGGGCGCTAGGGCGGGCGGCGCTCGGGCGCTAGGGCGGGCGGCGCTCGGGCGCTAGGGCGGGTGGCGCTCGGGCGCTAGGGCGGGCAGCCGTCAGGGCGCTAGGGCGGGCGGCCGTCAGGGCGCTAGGGCGGGCGGCGCTCGGGCGTTAGGGCGGGCAGCCGTCAGGGCGCTAGGGCGGGCGGCCGTCAGGGCGCTAGGGCGGGCGGCGTTCGGGCACTAGGGCGGGCGGCCGTCAGAGCACTAGGGCAGATCGAAAAAAAAGGAAGTACGAGGGCCCGGAGCGCGCTCTGGGCAGAAAAAAGTTAAGCGGTAGCGGTGGTGGGCCCTACGAACAGTTCCCACAGGGGAACCTGCTCGATACCATGAGAAGAAGTGAACGAGAATGAAATGACTATGAACGAAGTGAGTACAAATAGGAAACCCTGATTGGGTTGTACCCCTTATGGGATACCCCACTATAGCCTACAGAAATAAGTAAGCTATATGTTCTGACAAGAAATGTAAAAAAATGCACGCATGAATTATGTATGAGATGGTATGTTTTAAATTGTTGAGTTCCTATGTGAGGTGGTCAGACTTGTTTGTAGTGACATAATCTTATGTCGTAGAGGAATACGTCAAATGTGGTTTTTTTCCGTGACTTCCGAGCCGCTTCTAATAAAATCGCACTGTACTGGATATGCATCGCTGACGTGGCCCTCACTCGGCCTGGCATCATGTGGTTGTGAAGCTAATATCGTGGCTGCTTCTCAGCTGGAGCCTCCTTGCAAAGAGCTTGAGCCTGTGCGCTAAAGTTGTAGAATAGCAGGGCGGATCTGCTTGTCAAAACTAGTTAAGGTGGTCTCAGTTCATCTGGGCCCACTGCGAGTTCTCCCAGACTTTAACGACGACATTGGTGCTCTTATTCGTAATTTCGAGCATCGGACCTGGTAAAGGTGACCAGAAATCCGAGCTTTCTCGTTCATCAATTCTCGTGTCGCACAGTGTGATCGAATTTCACGAATGCATGTACTCACTTCACCGCGCTTCCTCCCCGCAATTCTCCCTCATACCGCTCCTTCTCTCGTTCCTTTCCGATTCGTCTCGTCACAGTTCATCGCGTTCATGGCGCCTAAGCGACGACCGCGAGAAATCTCTTCCGAGTCAGACACCTCCGCTTCAGACACCCCTTCGCCGCCTCCCAAAACTTCCAAAACCTTATCAGGGAAACGCCAACTCCAGAGTGAACCTTCCGAGAAGCGTCTCGCACCAGCGCCAGCAAAGGCCGCAGGGAAATCTCTCGGGAAAACTTTAGGGAAATCTCTAGGGTCCGGGAAAGCCTCCGTAGCCGTAGGATCGTCTCCGTTTGATGCGGAGCCGGCATGGGCGCAGAAGGACACGGGCGGCGCGGTGAATCCGGGGAGGGTGCGCGAGCTGCGCAAGGGGCTGCGGCGGACGGGGCCTGTGGTGTACTGGATGTCGCGAGATCAACGGTCCAAGGACAATTGGGCTCTCATCTACGCCGTCCAAAAGGTGCAGTTTCAGCTTCACTCCTATTTCTACTTGAACAGGTTCTTACAGTAACGTGTAGATGTTCTACTTGCAATTATTTCGTCCCTGTCCTCCGCCCCGCCCCCTCTGCCCCCTTCACATCCCCTACCTACTCCTCCCTACTTACCTTAGCGCATACCTCCTCCCCGCGCCGCATTCATTACACAGGCGCGGGAGAGGGGAGAGGCAGTGGCGGTGGTGTTCAACCTGGTGGACGGCATAGTGGACTCAAACCTTTTCCCTTCTTTACCCTCTTCTTCCCCCCCGGGCGCCCCCCGTTCCCCTTCCCCCCCTCCCCGTGCACACACCACGCGCAAGAGAGGGGAGAGGCAGTGGCGGTGGTCTTTAACCTTCTTTCTGGGTCTCAAGGCGACTTGTGACTCGACTCAAACCCTATTATCCCCCCTCCCTCCCATCCTCTTCCTCCTCTTCTCCCCATTCCCGCGATGCGGGCACAGGCGTGGGAGAAGGGAGAGGCAGTGGAGGTGGTTTTCAACCTCGTGGACTCCTTCCTGGGGACAAAAACGCAGACTGGACTCTAGGTTTTCCCCTCTTCCCCTCTCCCTTCCCGCCGCTCCCCTTCCTCTCTCCTCTCTTACGCACACCAGGCGCGGGAGAGGGGAGAGGCAGTGGCGGTGGTGTTCAACCTGGTGGACTCCTTCCTGGGCGCCAAGGCGCGGCACTTCGCATTCATGCTGCGCGGGATGAGAGAGGTGCAGGGCTCCTTTGCGGCGCTCGGGATCCCCTTCTTCCTCTTCCAGGTGACTCTAAAGAGCGTGCCTGTAGTGGTGGCACTGGGCTGTGTGGGTTCTGTTGGAAACGAATGAAAGCTGTGAGAGTCGTGGAGGGTACTGCTTCTGAGACGTCTCAAAAGACAGTCGTGGAGGGTACTGCCCAGATTGGCTCTTGCCTCGGTCCGATTGACCACACTTCCTGTTCTCACTTTACAGAAGGCACCGCGTCTTTTGCTCACTTCCAATCAAACCCCGGGACAAGGCAAGCCGCAAAGCAGTTTTGAGGCCCTTCAAAACGAGGAGACAGCCCTGGACTTGCTTGTCCGCCTTTTGAGGGACCTCCAGCGCAGCCATTGTGCCTCATTGCACCTCATTCTTCTCTTCCATCCCAACCCCAGGGCAAGGCAGAGGAGACGGTTCCGGACTTTGCAATGCGATGTGGCGCGTCGCTATTGGTCACCGACTTCTCCCCGCTGCGCATCGGGAGGCACTGGCGCGAGGGGGTGTGTGCGAGGCTGGCAGATCTGGAGCTCAGCCAATCAGGAAGCGGCAGCAGCAGCAGGCAAGGGGCCACATTAGCAGACAGAGCAGCAGAAGGAGAAGCAGGAGAAGCGGCAGGAGGGAGGAAAGGGGCGGGAGGGAGGGAAGGGACGGCAGGGAGGGATGAGCTGTGGGACGCGCAGGTGGGGCTGACAGGTGTGCATGAGGTGGACGCCCACAACGTGGTGCCCATCTGGGCCGCTTCAGACAAGTTAGAGTACGCCGCCCGCACCATCCGCACCAAAATACACCGGAAATTGCCAGAGTACTTGGTGGAGTACCCCCAGTTGGAGCCGGGGTGCACTGTGGAGTGGACAGGGGAGAAGCCGTCGCCTGTGGACTGGGACTCGTTAATAGCTGCTGTGATCAGGTGAAAGTTAGACTCGTTACAAAGTGTGGTGGTGTAGTGTAGTGAAGAGAAGCCGATGCCTGTGGACTGGAACTCGTAGAACAGATGTCCTTCGTATCCCTTCTCTCCCGTATTCATCCATGTTCCCAACAATGCTGGTCCCGAGGCGCCAGAGATGGATGGGTCAATCCTGGGGGAGGAAGCGGCAAGGCAACAAGTGCAGCAGCATCAGCGAGGCTCATGATCCCTTCCTCCTCGCCCTTCACCACAACAGACCCTCTCCCTCCCCCCATTATGTCATCCGTATACATACCGCTGCCAGGGCTGATCCCGAGGTACCAGAGGTGGACTGGATGGCTCTTGGGGGAGGCAGTCGCAGCAACTGCAGTGAGGTTTCCTTTACCACACGAAACCGTGAAACACAGCTACTCCATTCATCTCCCTTCCATCACCTACTCATCCGTATGCATTACCTGCAGGGCTGGTCCCGAGGTACCAGAGGTTGACTGGATAGTCGCAGGGGAGGCAGCAGCAGCAGCAGGGCTGAAGACGTTTCTAGACAAGAGGTTGAGGGGGTACGACAGCGGGCGCAACGACCCGTCTAAGGGTCCCACCACCCTGTCGGGGCTCTCCCCCTGGCTGCACTACGGACAGGTCGCCCCCCAACGGTGCGCCCTGGAGGCGAGGAAGCTGAGGAAGCAGCACAGCAAGGTGAGGAGGGTAGCAGCAGTGGGTTCTGTCGGGGCTCTCCCCCTGGCTGCACTACGGGCAGATTGCCCCCTAGCGATGCGCCCTGGAGGCGAGACAATTGAGGAAGCAGCACAGCAAGGTGATAAGGGTAGCAGGGTGAAGTGGCTTCTGAGAATTCTCAAAATCGGGTGAAATGTGGACTCCACAGCAACGCCTCTCCTCTGTTTATCCAGGCGTAGCAATCACTCGTTTATCCACCTGCCCCGCCTCCTCATCCACGTCCCCCCCAACCCCAACAGGCAGTGGACGCGTTTCTACAAGAAACCGGGGGAGGGTGATATTAGGCCCGAGTGGGCCCCAATTAGGTGCCATGACACCGGGGCCCACTTGAAACCGGGGGAGGGTGATATTAGGTGCCATGACACCGGGGCCCACTTGAAACCGGGGGAGGGTGATATTAGGTGCCATGACACCGGGGCCCACTTGAAACCGGGGGAGGGTGATATTAGGTGCCATGACACCGGGGCCCACTTGAAACCGGGGGAGGGTGATATTAGGCCCGAGTGGGTGATATTAGGCTGAATCTGTTTTTTGAGAATTCTCAAAAAGCAGTGGACGCGTTTTTACAAGAGCTGGTGGTGCGGAGGCAGCTGGCAGATACCCACTGCTTCCACCAACCCCCTTGCCTCTTGCTCCCCAACCTCTTCTTGTCCGTGTCTCCCCCATAACCCCCCTTCTCAGGCGGTGGATGCGTTTTTAGAGGAGCTGGTGGGGCGCAGGGAGCTGGCGGACAACTACTGCTTCCACCAGCCCCCTCGCCCCTTGCTCCTCCTTCCTCTTACCCACCTTCCCCCATCTCCCGCTCCATCCCTTCCCCCCCCCCCCCAGGCAGTGGACGCGTTTCTAGAGGAGCTGGTGGTGCGCAGGGGGCTGGTGGACAACTGCTGCTTCCACCAGCGCGGACCCTTCCTTATCGCTCCTCGCTCCCCCTTCCCCCCGCCCCTCTCCACCCACCCCTTCCCCCTTCCTCCATCCTCCCCTCCCCCCCCATCAGGCAGTGGACGCGTTTTTAGAGGAGCTGGTGGTGCGGAGGGAGCTGGCGGACAACTACTGCTTCCACCAGCCGCTGTACGACTCACTGGGGGGCGCGTGGGGGTGGGCGCAGCAATCCCTGGACGCACACCGCGCAGACAAGAGAGAGTTTGTTTACACGTGAGTGGGGAGGAAAGGGAAAGGGGGAGCGGAAGGGAAAGGGGGAGCGGAAGGGAAAGGGGGAGCGGAAGGGAAAGGGGGAGCGGAAGGGAAAGGGGGAGCGGAAGGGAAAGGGGGAGCGGAAGGGAAAGGGTCTCTCTTGTGCTTCCATTTCACCAGCCGCTGTACGACTCGCCGGGGGGCGCATGGGAGTGGGCGCAGCGATCACTGAATGAGCACCGGGGGGACAAGTGCGAGTTTGTGTACTCGCGAGTGAGTGAGTGGGAGGGGAGGATAAATCAACGGTGGGGGCATAAAGGGAAAGAAAGGGCGACGGTGGATGGTGTTAGAGCAACGTTCCATCAATTATTTTGTTTCCTTGTTTTTCTATTGGCCACTGTATGATTCCCGGGCATTTGATTTCGATTTCTTGTTTCTTGTGCTTGCCATGCGTATCAAATCTGCCCTACTGTGTGTGAGGTGCAGGGCAGCGCAGTGGGAAGCAGCCAAGACGCACGACCAGGTAACACAATGGCAAGTGGGCCCTCTACGAGTGGTAACTCCTGGGCATTGCGCTTTCCATGACTTGCTTTGACACACGCTTGACCCTCTTGACCCTCTTGACCCTCTTGACCCTCTTGACCCTCTAGACCCTCTCGACCCTCCGTGTCCCCCTTCCCCTCACATCACTTCTCTTCCTATTTCGCCCACTCTCACCCCTTGATATAGGTTTTCCATCCCACCACTCCCACCTCCCTGTTTGCAACCCCACTTCTTGCACCACATGCCAGCTGTGGAACGCCGCTCAGCTGGAGCTGGTTCACTACGGCAAGATGCACGGTTTCATGCGGTGAGACGTGGATTCAGTGCGGTGAAGCATGGTTAAGCGTGGTAGGCTGGTAGCGAGTGGTCAGAGAGGGGAAGAAGGCAGCAGGTGTTGCAGGTGAGGAATTACGCAACTCTGCTAGAAAGCTGCTAGCATGGCAGTGGCTTGTGCGGCATGGTGCAATAAGTCATGGATTGTGCAATGAGGTGCGTGAGGTGCGATGAGGTGCGATGAGGTGCGATGAGGTGCGATGAGGTGCGATGAGGAGCGGCTAGGATCAGTGAGGAGAGTTGCTGTCTCCAGTGTGTCTCTGCAGTATGAGAGGCTGAAGCGGCCACTCTGTACCTTCACCTCCAAACCACATTCCTCCACCCGCTTTCCCGTTTCTCATTCTCCCCTCCTTCATGTGTGCAGCATTCACTGGGCATATATCCAAGTCACTTCTGAGAGCTCTCAAACTTGTCTTTGCTTTCCATCCCCCACCCCCCCCCCCCCCCTCTCTCCCTCTTGTGTGGCAGCATGTACTGGGCGAAGAAGATTCTAGAGTGGTCTGAGTCACCAGAGGAAGCTCTCAGAATAGCAATCGAGCAGAATGATAAGGTGCGTGGAGTGGAGAAGATGAGGAGATTATGGCATAGCTAATTCGTCCTTTCTGGCTTCCCTTCTCCTCGCTGCTATCTTCCCATTGCCTTCTCCTCTCTTCTCCTTTCCTCTCGTTTCATCTTCTCCTTTCCTCTCGTTTCATCTTCTCCTTTCCTCTCGTTTCATCTTCTCCTTTCCTCTCGTTTCATCTTCTCCTTTCCTCTCGTTTCATCTTCTCCTTTCCTCTCGTTTCATCTTCTCCTTTCCTCTCGTTTCATCTTCTCCTTTCCTCTCGTTTCATCTTCTCCTTTCCTCTCGTTTCATCTTCTCCTTTACCTGCTTTTCCTGCTCTCACCTCTTTTCCGCCCCCCCTGCCCCTATTGCTCCACGTTTATTATCGCCACCAATCCCCTCACAAGCTCGCCTTCTAAGCTCCCTCGTTCCTTCCTCTCACATCCGTGTCCCCCCATCCTCTCCCCAACTCCGTCCCCAACCCCACCCCCATCCTCGTCCGCGTCTCACATCCCCACCACAGTACTCATTGGACGGTCGCGATCCCAACGGCTATGTAGGCTGCATGTGGTCCATTGCGGGCGTGCACGACCAGGTACGGTGAATGCGTACTTCGCTAGTGCACGACCAGGTACGGTGAATGCGTACTTCGCTAGTGCACGACCAGGTACGGTGAATGCGTACTTCGCTAGTGCACGACCAGGTACGGTGAATGCGTACTTCGCTAGTGCACGACCAGGTACGGTGAATGCGTACTTCGCTAGTGCACGACCAGGTACGGTGAATGCGTACTTCGCTAGTGCACGACCAGGTACGGTGAATGCGTACTTCGCTAGTGCACGACCAGGTACGGTGAATGCGTACTTTGGTAGTGCACGACCTGACAAGTGCACGCTCACATCGCTTCTGCCACGCTCCTTCCTACTCGAACCCTTTTGCTCAGGGCTGGGCGGAACATAAGGTGGTTTGGTATGTAATGAATCCAGGTGGGTGAAATTAGGTGTGAAGAGGTGCACTGTTCAGCACTCATTCCACTTTCCCCTTCCCCTACCCCCCCCTTTCTCTCCCTGCACATCCAGGGCTGGGCGGAGCGCAAAGTGTTTGGCAAGATTCGTTATATGAACGCAGCGGGGTGCAAGAGGAAGTTTGACGTGGAGGCTTATATAGGGTACGTGCGGCGCATGGTGGCTGCAGTGAAGAAGAAAGGCCCGGCTGCTGTTTCTCCAGGCGGTGCTGCTGCCTCCCCCGCTGCCACTGCCAATGCTGCCACTGCAACTGCTGCCCGTCTTAGGGCTGGTAAACCCACAGCCTAGACAGCAGTGAGGCGCATGGTGGGTGCTGAGAATGACAAGGGTACAGTTGCTGATGCTGCTGTTACCACTGGTGGCGCCACTGCAAGTACTGCGACTGCAGGTGGTGCTGCTTCTCTCAGAGCAGATAAACCCACACTTAAAGTGAGAAATGCGTCGCACATAGGTGCTTACGTGTGACGCATGGTGGGTGTAGTGAAGAAGAAAGGCAGGGCTGCTGCTGGCAGCAACACTGGCGGTGCTGCTCCTACCCGGCAAATGCTGCCACTGTAGCTGCTGCTTCTTTCAGAGCAGATAAATCAAAGTAGTAGGCAGCATTTAGGCAGTTGCTAGGTGAATAAATGGTGAATGAGTGTTGTGCACATAGACAAATGCAGTGCCCTAGATATTAGACTTTTTACGCTGATTCAGCGTCCATTCAGACATTTTTTAGGTACCAGGTCTGAACTGAAAGTTTTTTTTTAATGTACATTCTCTGATTTGTCAGAGTTTTTTTAATGTAGTGGCTGAAATTTCAGACAAAATGTAGGGGTGTAGGCTGAGCCTCAGGCACGTTTCGGGGGTGCACTCTGAAACGGGTACTGCAGGCGTCCGCCAGCCTGGCGGCGTGTTTTCACTAACACCGTCAATCACGGGCGGGAAACGGAACATTTCCCGAGCGCGGCACCGTACCGCACAGTCGCGTTGGGCCAGGGATGCTGTAATCTGGCTCAATTCCAGCCAATCGCTACAGCGCAGCAGGCAGTGTTGGCAAGATTCCCTGCCAACGCATACGGTAGCTTGCACCCGGACAACACTACAACCACCCACCCCCCTCCAACGTCCACCGTGCCAACGCATAGCTCGCAGCGCGCTGCAGCTCTCACGTGACCACATCCATCCACCCCAGTCACCCCACCTTCCCTGCACCCACGACCAGGTGCCGTGCATGCAGTGCAGTGACCAGCAAGGAGATGAGCGATCCAAATACGAGGACCTCATCTTCCTCATCGTCGCCCTTCGTGGGGGTCACTCCGTGCCCTGTTTCTCTCGCCTCATTCAATTTCTTCGCCAGATAGTATTGCTGGAACCCTTGTTTCTGACTCTCCCTCGCTCTCGCAAAACCAGTGCTCGGCAGACTCATGGTAGCCACAGGCGCTGCCGCCGAATCGCCCAATGATGATGACGAGACAGATCGACGGCCTGCGTCAGACGCAGTGACCGGCCTGGACTTTCTACGAGCATGCTTGCCGACGCATGTCCCACCGACTACTCCACCGTCGCAACCTAGCTCTAGCCGTCCTCCAGTTTCCGTTCAACCTGAACCTGTCCCCACAGCCGTCACTGAACCGGTCGAAGCTGAGCCACAGTCTGTGCCCAATGAGGCGTCCGCTGAAGCACCATCCCGTCCCGCACCACCGTCGAAGCTGCGTTACCGTCAGACCACGTTTCCGTGGGCAACTCCTCCTCCATCGACCGTTGAAGCTCCAGCGAGAGTCGAATCTCCCATGCAGGGCAGCTCAAAGCCCACCGACAAGTCTGACTCCGATAAGTTGGAGTTGAAATACGAAGAAGCACACTTTCGTTTTAAAACAAAGTGGTCTACCGATACGACGGGCTTATTCTAACTAAAACCTATACCGGTGCCCCAAGTTTTAAGTGCAGCATTTGCCTGGAGTTTGCAGGACTTACAGGCAAGTGTGGACGGGGTGGTGAGGGCGCGACCGACGTGCAGACGCAGGCCTTCAAGAAGCATGAAGGCACGGTGAAGCATCGTTTTGCACTGAAGCGGCAGGAGGACCTCCTCCAGAAGTATGGCGATCAACATCGCATCGACCTACACCCGAAAGCGCAGGACAAGGAGATGTTGGAGATCTCAGCGCTAGTGGAGTCGCTGTACTTCACGAGCTCGTGCAACGAGCCCATGGACGCTTGGATTCGGCTTGTGCGCTATCTCGCGAAGAAGAAGGTGCCCGGCTTTGCAGAGCAGAGCTACGGCACGTACTACAACACGTAAGTTTATTGCGGTTGTAACCACCGAATCGTTGATTTCTTCTAACTCACAGTCACTAACTGCCTCTGGTCTTGTTTTTTTTATATAGGTACGGGTTTGGAGAGTTAACACAGGCAATTTCAACATGGCTCCAAACAACACAGCTGGAACACCTTCTGACGAGCCCCTTCATCGAGATCACCCTGGACGAGAGCACAGACCGGCGGCGCGGCAAACACATGATCGTGTTTGCAACCTTCCTGCGCGACAAGCAAGTTGTGACTGAGTTCTTTGCTCACCTCACGGTTGAGAAAGCTGACGCTGCATCCCTATGTAGTTTGTTGCTCTCCCACATCAGGGCTGTCGGCGTGGACCTCCACCGTATTTCGGGAGTGAGCACGGACGTCGCGATGGTGATGGTGGGAGTCCACACCGGTGTGGTGGCTCGTCTTCGGATGCTCATCCCCAACCTGGTTTCGTTCCACTGCATCGCTCACAGGTGCGTTGTTGTTGTTGTTTTATTGTTTGTTTAGTCGTTTAACAGTAACATACGATGCTAATCATGCTTGTTTGTACGTCTTGCAGGGAGGCATTGGCTGCCAAAGCCGCTGCATAGTCTATACCCACTTTCAACATGGTGGACGACGTAATTCGTGCTGTCGCTGAGTACCTGGGGCGATCATCACCGTGGCATCAACGGTTCATGGACCTGCATGAGGTATTTACCTCCACCAACCTCGAGGTGCAGGGGATCCACGAGGTGCGGTGGCTTTCAAGGGGTGTTGCGGTCGCCCGCTTCGTCGAGGTCCTCCCAGCCATCATGGTGATGTTGTCAGAGTGGAAGGACCAGACGATGTACGAGCTCGTCACGTCCTACCGGTTTCAGTTTCTGCTTCGGTTCCTCGCGGACATTCTGGACCTCCTCAACATCCTCTCGAAGGTTTTCCAGCATCGTGAGGTAAGAAAGTTGAGTAATCTTGTGTTTTTTTTAAGCCGGAAACCGTGCTCTAACTAAAACTTCGTTATGATGTGGCAGCTCGACTACCCATTGGTGCACACACAGATTGTGAGCACAACATCTCTCCTGGAGAGTCGGTACATCGACTGCGGAGATGACTTCGGCGGCGGGCATAACGAGCGGCAGGGGACACCAGAGATGGTGGTGGAAGGCGCGTCGTCGAATGGGAGTCTCAACCGCTTCAAGATCACCCTTCACGAGCGCCGAGTGGCGAACTATCTTGGGGCGGGTCATCACGATGCGTGTGTTGCGCTCTGCACTGACTTTGTCGAGGGCCTCGTCGAGGAGCTTCAGTCTAAGCTCGGAGACCTCGACTCTCTGTCTGGCGTGCGGCTATTCATACCTGACGAGTGGCCTCCGAATTGGGAGAGGAGTGCACGGCAGGCACAATGCCTTGAGTGGCTGTTGCCGCTAGTCACTCTGTTCCGCGCCGACGACCGCGAAGAGATTTTGCCAGGTCAGTTAGTGAAGTGATGCTCGTTCGACTGTTGGCTAAACCGCTCCGTACTAATCTCTCGCCGTGTCCTATGTTGCAGGCATTGACAAGAAGCGTGCTGTGAAGGAGCTGCGGACTCTGTGCCCAGTCCTGGCCAGAGCCCCTAAGAGCGAGCGCAAGTTCAACACGGGATTGACTGCAATCCTCAAGACACATGACTGGGAGCAAGCCTACCCCAACCTCGTCAGACTCTGGGTGGCGGTTGCAGTGCTGCCTCTCAGCACCGTCGAGTGCGAGAGAGGATTCTCTCGCCAGAATCTCATCAAGACGTGGCAGAGGGGTAGTTTAAAAGACTGTAGGCTCAGTGACCTGCTGTGTATGTCTATGCTAGACTATGAGCTGGACGTGCCGGGGGTTGTAGAGATCTGGCGCAGCTATAAGAAACGCCGGCCAGTGACGGCACCTGCTGCAAGACACAGGGAGCCCCAGAGAGCTGGGAAGGAGGCTGCAGAGGAGCCAGTAGTTCAGCCGGCAGCTGGAGTAGTGTCACATGTGATAGAATCTGATTCAGATAGTTGAAGTGTTTTCAATGTATATAAAACCGGCAGCCTACAAACTTAGTGTAACTCTGAAATTTCAGCCAAAAAAAATAGTGAAGTCTGAACTTTCTGACTTCATATTGCATGCAAGTCTGACTGACAGAGTTTAGATGAGGGTGTACTCTGACCCAACAGCGTGTCCTAAAACGAATCTAGGGCCCTGGACAAATGCAACTGCCTCAATATAACATTTTTTAGTATGGTACAGAACTATCCTTCACAGCAAAATCGTGTGCAGTGGCACTGTGGCATAGTGTTTGTTCTCACCAATCCCCAACCTCCTCTTTAATAGTTGCTAGAAGCGAGACCAGGGCCACCTGCAGAGATAAAACGAAATGAGCAGAGATGAGCAGAGAATGGGTCAAACACCGTGCATGCGGCCTAGAGCCACTTGGTGAAGCCTACTGGTTGGTGTGCAAGGAGTAACTCGTAGGGTAATGTTCAGCATGCAGAGTGCTCATACGGACCCATGTCAGTGCGCAGTGGTTTGTGCCCCACGACCACACGGTGGAAGCTGGGTGTAACTCGTAGGGTACTGTGCAGCATGCAGCGTGCATGGAGGGTACTGTGCAGCATGCAGCGTGCATGGAGGGTGCAGAGTGCTCATGCGGACTCACATCGGTGCGCAGTGGTTTGTGCCCCACGACCACACGGTGGAAGCCCAGGCGAGCAAAGAGGTGTAACTCGTAGGGGACTGTTTATCATGCACCATGAGCAAGGTGCAAAAATACGACCGTATTTTTGAAACTGCTCTAATGTTTCTAACAGGAGCCTGTTACACGTTGCCGTATTTTACAGCTGGAAAAAAAAAAAAAAAAAAAAAAAAAAAAAAAAAAAAAAAAAAAAAAAAAAACGACTGTTATTTTGCACCTTGACGATGAGCATGCAGCATGCTGGTGGGACTTGGGACTCACATCAGTGCGCAATGGCTTGTGGCCTATAGCCACTTGGTGGAAGCCCAGGCGAGCAAAGAGGTGTAACTCGTAGGGTAACCAGCCACCCTCGGGTCCCACTGCTAGCACCACGTTGTAGGATGTGCGGAGGGAGGGAGGGAGCAGGTACTCTGGAATGGCAGGGATAGAGGGAAGGAGAGGGGACGATAAGGAGAGGGGCCGCGGAGGGAGTACGTGGCCTTTCGAATCAGTTCAGATCCCTCCCTCTGCCCGCACTGCTCGCACGCACCACATGGTAGGATGCAGTAAGGGTGGGGGGAGCAGGAACTTTGGATGGGAGGCAGGGAAGATGCTGATGTGTAAGCAACTCTCCGAGGGTCTAGGAGAAATTCTAAGGCAGCCCATGATAGCTTGGTGATAAAAGTGATATTCTGAGACGTCTCAAAATATCACTTTTATCATGTGGCTAAATTTTGAGGCGGCCCATGATAGCCCGCCTGCCAGCCCGCCTGCCAGCCCCACCACCGCTCACACCAAATTGCCTATTTTTGAGGCGCAGAATAATAATGAATAATAATAAGGAAAAAGGGGTTCTCTGACCACACCGCACTGTAGTATCTAGCGAAACTGGGAAGGAATGCAAGACGCCAGAGGTTAAGATTGTGGGGAAGGTAGCAGGGGCTGAAAGAGATGGGAGCAGGGAGATGGAGGAGGGGAGCACGGAGACGGAGAGAGCAGGGAGGGAGGGAGCGAAAGATGGTAGGAGGGATGGAGAGACGAAAGGGAGTGCAAGGTCGGCTATGGGACTGCCTCACCATGCCTTGCCACTGCCTCACCATGCCTTGCCACTGCCTCACGCATGCTTGTTGAGCTTCCGCTCCTCCCTCCACGGCCAGTACCATTCCTAGCGTCCACAACACTTGCAGCAGCTGCCTCCCCACGACCATCACCATCACCATCACCACCACCACCACCCTCTGCTGCGCTCTGCCCCTCTGAATCGCCTTCTGGGTCGCTCCCTGGGTGTGCGAGCAGCAGCAGAGTACCAGTGGAGACTGGAGGCACGAGAGGTGGCGTCGCTGTGATGGTACCTGCAGGTCCATCAGCAGTAGGAGCAGCTGCAGGTGTATCGGCAGGAATATGAGCTCTAGGTGAAACTGAAAGAGTGACAGAAGGGTGATCAGGACTCGAGTCGCTGGCGTGCGCAGGTGCTGATTGGTCCAGCTGGCTCTGGCGCTCCAGAGAATCGAGGTGTGGGAAGAGGAAGGTGAAGAGAAGCTTCTTCAGCTGCAAGTGAACTGACACAGACGGAAGGTGTGTGTCACCGACCTGTGGGATGGGGACACGTGGCGAGTGTGTCAAGGAGGCATGGCATGGATGATTCGAATCACCAGCATGTGTACCGAATGGAAGCATGTGTACCGAATGGAAGCATGCGTACCGAATGGAAGCATGCGTACCGAATGGAAGCATGCGTACCGAATGGAAGCATGCGTACCGAATGGAAGCATGTGTACCGAATGGAAGCATGCGTACCGAATGGAAGCATGCGTACCGAATGGAAGCATGCGTACCGAATGGAAGCATGCGTACCGAATGGAAGCATGCGTACCGAATGGAAGCATGTGTACCGAATGGAAGCATGCGTACCGAATGGAAGTATGCGTACCGAATGGAAGCAGTACCGAATGGAATCATGCGTACCGAATGGAAGCATGTGTACCGAATGGAAGCATGCGTACCGAATGGAAGCATGCGTACCGAATGGAAGCATGCGTACCGAATGGAAGCATGCGTACCGAATGGAAGCATGCGCACCGAATGGAAGCATGCGTACCGAATGGAAGCATGCGTACCGAATGGAAGCATGCGTACCGAATGGAAGCATGCGTACCGAATGGAAGCATGCGCACCGAATGGAAGCATGCGTACCGAATGGAAGCATGCGTACCGAATGGAAGCATGCGTACCGAATGGAAGCATGCGTACCGAATGGAAGCATGCGTACCGAATGGAAGCATGCGTACCGAATGGAAGCATGCGTACCGAATGGAAGCATGCGTACCGAATGGAAGCATGCGTACCGAATGGAAGCATGCGTACCGAATGGAAGCATGCGTACCGAATGGAAGCATGCGTACCGAATGGAAGCATGCGTACCGAATGGAAGCATGCGTACCGAATGGAAGCATGCGTACCGAATGGAAGCATGCGTACCGAATGGAAGCATGCGTACCGAATGGAAGCATGCGTACCGAATGGAAGCATGCGTACCGAATGGAAGCATGCGTACCGAATGGAAGCATGCGTACCGAATGGAAGCATGCGTACCGAATGGAAGCATGCGTACCGAATGGAAGCATGCGTACCGAATGGAAGCATGCGTACCGAATGGAAGCATGCGTACCGAATGGAAGCATGCGTACCGAATGGAAGCATGCGTACCGAATGGAAGCATGCGTACCGAATGGAAGCATGCGTACCGAATGGAAGCATGCGTACCGAATGGAAGCATGCGTACCGAATGGAAGCATGCGTACCGAATGGAAGCATGCGTACCGAATGGAAGCATGCGTACCGAATGGAAGCATGCGTACCGAATGGAAGCATGTGTACCGAATGGAAGCATGCGTACCGAATGGAAGTATGCGTACCGAATGGAAGCATGTGTACCGAATGGAAGCATGCGTACCGAATGGAAGCATGCGTACCGAATGGAAGCATGCGTACCGAATGGAAGCATGCGTACCGAATGGAAGCATGCGTACCGAATGGAAGCATGCGTACCGAATGGAAGCATGCGTACCGAATGGAAGCATGCGTACCGAATGGAAGCATGCGTACCGAATGGAAGCATGCGTACCGAATGGAAGCATGTGTACCGAATGGAAGCATGTGTACCGAATGGAAGCATGCGTACCGAATGGAAGCATGCGTACCGAATGGAAGCATGCGTACCGAATGGAAGCATGTGTACCGAATGGAAGCATGTGTACCGAATGGAAGCATGCCTAAACCCGAATGGAAGCATGCGTACCGAATGGAAGCATGCGTACCGAATGGAAGCATGCGTACCGAATGGAAGCATGTGTACCGAATGGAAGCATGCGTACCGAATGGAAGCATGCGTACCGAATGGAAGCATGCGTACCGAATGGAAGCATGCGTACCGAATGGAAGCATGCGTACCGAATGGAAGCATGCGTACCGAATGGAAGCATGCGTACCGAATGGAAGCATGCGTACCGAATGGAAGCATGCGTACCGAATGGAAGCATGCGTACCGAATGGAAGCATGCGTACCGAATGGAAGCATGCGTACCGAATGGAAGCATGCGTACCGAATGGAAGCATGCGTACCGAATGGAAGCATGCGTACCGAATGGAAGCATGCGTACCGAATGGAAGCATGCGTACCGAATGGAAGCATGCGTACCGAATGGAAGCATGCGTACCGAATGGAAGCATGCGTACCGAATGGAAGCATGCGTACCGAATGGAAGCATGTGTACCGAATGGAAGCATGTGTACCGAATGGAAGCATGCGTACCGAATGGAAGCATGCGTACCGAATGGAAGCATGCGTACCGAATGGAAGCATGTGTACCGAATGGAAGCATGTGTACCGAATGGAAGCATGCGTACCGAATGGAAGCATGCGTACCGAATGGAAGCATGTGTACCGAATGGAAGCACGTGTACCGAATGGAAGCATGTGTACCGAATGGAAGCACGTGGCTGCAGCTCCTCCAAGTCAAGGGTTCTCGCTCATAATAGGTAACATACACAATGGACTGCGTGGTATGTATGTCTATTGTGGGAGGGAGGAAGCGCACTGTGCTTTGAAGAGTTCTGAGACATCTCAAAGCGCACTGTGCTTTGAAGAAGCAAGCACTCTGACGCTTCTCTGCCTCTGCCAACATCCCAACACTCAGCCACACACTGACTCCACCAACCACGCACCATACAATCTATCCCTCTCTCTCACCTGCTCTGCTCCAATCAGCAGCTCCTGCCGAACAACCTCGGGCAGCAGGGCCTGGCTGTCGAAGTAAAACCTTTCGACCCGGGCAGCGTTGCAAATCATGACGTCCTGAAGGGCGAACTGCCCGAGAATCGACCTGTGCTGTTGTGATTTCACACTCACACACCCCCATGCACGCAGCAACAAACATGCGATTGTGCACACACCACAAAGAGAAAGGCAACAAACACATGCATGCAGTTTATGTGCATCCGAATCATGCGTGTATCATGGCTGAAAATTCTGCATAAAATTGCGTATTTGTGAGGCGCCTAAAAAAACTAATCGTGTGGCTGCAGAATGCCCCTGGGAAGGCATACATGGGGCTTTAATTGGCCAATGAAGCCCTCAGTGTTCCCGGGGATAATCAGATGGGTTTGACCCACAGCAAAGCCTTGAAAGAAAATCCAAGCCGTACACTTTATATATATATGTATATATATATATATATATATGCCACTCATGTGTATACCAACTAGCATCTGTTCCCCAGCAGCAAAATTCCCCGCCCGCTTGCGCTCCCCTCTAGGCCCACCAGAGGCGGCCCATGGCAAGTGAAAGGACCACCTTGAGCCCCCCTGTGTCCCGTGAAAGAAGAGTACTTTTGAGCCGTCTCAAAAACACTCTTCTTTCACGTGGCGATTGACAGGACCACCTCAAGGCCCCCTGTGTTCCGTTGAGTCTCACCCAAACATCGACCCTCCTTCCCCTCACACTCACCAGAGGCTTTGACCATTCGCACCGCTCTCAACCGCTCATTTCACCCGCTCAGACTCACCAGAGGCGTCGCATGGCCTTGGGACGCGGCATGGCGAGGAGCAGCCTCAGCCTGCGCTGTGGTGACGTGGCGCTCTGGGATTGGTGGAAAGTGGAAGCTGGTGATTCGTGCGACGAGAGGGAGGAGGGAAGGAGAAGACGTGAGGCAGAGTGGTGGGGTTGGGGAGAGGAGGAGGAGGAGGAGGAGGAGGAGGAGGAGGAGGAGGAGGAGGAGGAGGAGGAGGAGGAGGAGGAGGAGGAGGAGGAGGAGGAGGAGGAATGTAGAAAGGTGCTGGTGACGGCTCTAGCTGTTGCTGCTGAACTAGTTACACTTCTGGCGGCAATGGCAACACCGGAAGCTACTTGGAAGTTGCACTGCAGCAGGAAACCAGCATAATCATCATCATCACTACAACCATCACAGCCACCACGACTGTTCATATGTGCTTCACTGCCGCCCCTCTCATCCCCACTCCTCCCATTACCGGCTACCCCGTAACCCCTGCACTCCATCCCCTCCTCCGCCTCCTCGCCCCCCTCCCCACCCTCCGCCCCTCCTTCCCCGCCCCCCGCACCCTGCGACTCGCTGCTGCCGCCCCTGCCCGGCACAATGCGCACCACCTGCGGAGGGGGGCAGAGGGGGACAAGGGGCAGAGACGGTGGAGGGGGAGGGGGAGAGAGCGGGGCGGCGAGGGGTGAGGTGGAGGTAGGGGGAGGGAGCGGAGCAGCGGGAGGCAACGGGGAGGGGGAGAGAAAGCGGGGCAGCAGCAGGGGGTGAAGGGCGTGATCCTCTCTCTCTACCCCCCACGCACACCACACTCTCTACCACCTGACCAGGCCGATCTATACTCACTGTAGCGGTGCCGGCCGGGCCGTTCACGATGCCGATTCGAACCTTTTTCCCCACGCCTGCCCGCAACACGCGCCGCATGTGGCGGGCGCGCGAGTCAGACGCTGCGAGCTCGATGCTCCCATCCTGTCCCACCTCGTGCGGCTCGAACAGGATTCGGTTGCGCGACTCGATCTTCAGCAATTTGCCGGCGCGATTGGCGGCGGGATGCGCCAATCCCCACCCCCTGCCGAGCCGCGCCGGCGGACTCCTGCGGTTCGAGCTCCGCGAGTCACGTTTCAGAACAATTCTGTCAGTACGTGTCAGTGCATCGAGACTCTCCGTCCGCGCTTTCCATTGCGCGTTGCTGGGACTGCGGAGCAAGCAAAGCGGCTTTCTCTCCGCTGTCGGCGGTGAGCGCACGTGCGCGCGATGGGCTGCAGTGGGGGCCACAACGATGGCGGAAGATCGAGGCATTTCCCGCGGAGAGCGTCCTGTTGCGGAGATGGTAACATGGGTGGAGAGGACAGCGCACGACGAGCTTGTGATTGGGGCCGCCAACGAAGAAGAATGATAACTCGGCGACGCGAGAATGCCGACCATGATGTTTAGGACGCGGTGAAAGTGCTGGATCGGGGGGTAGATCGATTCGGTCACCGCACTGAACCCTGCGTTTTGGACACGAAAGGTACACAACCTTTTATAACCGCGCTAAAAAACGATCCTTAGGCGATCGATTCTCCACTTTCACCGCGTCCCCACTCGAAGGACGACAGCTGAATTGCGGAATGCAATTTCAGTATCGAGTATAGATTTCGGGCTCTGATTTGAAGTACTCGAGTAACAGGTACGGTTTTCGCGAAAATAAATTCGTGAACCTCACGGATGCTATAGTCTGCGCCGTTACGAACAGCCCAATTCGTAACAGACGACTTGAATGACTCGCACAGACGCGGTACAACATTCCGCGGTCCAACCTGCGAACAAACTTTGGGAATTTGGGGGGCGTCGTTCGTAACAGAGGTAGGTTTTCCCACCTATGAACTGACTTTTGGAAAATGGGACGGGCTGTCACGAGCCCGAAATGCGGCCTCAAGTAGACATGGATGTTGCGAAATTTTGGGTCGCGGACGGCTTCAGTTCGTCCCAGGCTCAACGATTTGCGCTGCATCACTTCACATCATTCTCGAGCCAAACCCCTCATCTGGGTCTATCGAACCTGCGGTGTGGTGTGGTGTGGTGTGGTTTGGATGTCACATTTGATCTGAGTTGTTTGGGGTGAGTTCGCGAAACTCGTGACATATGACGGTATCTGTGCGCAGCGTGAGACAGGCCAACCAGGTTCCAGAAAAGTAACTGGAGGAGGCGCGCTGTGTAGTAGTGCAGATCGTGAAATGTGATGGCTGGATGGGTAGGAAAATTGGCTGCACCAAGGCAATGCAATGCAATGCGCCTCCCCACCCCATTCCCCCACCCTCCCCTTCCTCCTCGGCACAACAGTTGCAAAGCAGCTGCGGCAAGGCAAAGCCCCCCTTCCCATTCACCACAGCAAAGCACCCCCCTTGCTGCAGGCCCCCGTTTGTGCTTCTGCCCCTGCCATGCCGTTGCAGCAGCCATCTTTGTTGTATCTTCTGCCCCTGCAGTTGCCCCTGCAGTTGCCCCTGCCTTTTGCAGTGTGCAACTCTTCGCTCTACCACAGCCCTCATTGCCAAGCAGTGCAAAGAGCAGCAGGCATTGAATTGTATTGCAGGCCCGTCGGTTGTCTAGCTAGCAGTGTCATTCACGTCGCGCTTGTTCGCGTCGAGGCATCGGAAGCAGCCCCCCCATTCCCAAGGCGAGGCATCACACGCAGCAGAAGTGTCTAAGCAGCCGAGGCATCGCAAGCAGCCGAGTATGTCGTCGACGGAATCGGCGTCGCTCTCATTCCGTGACGTCGTCTTTCTCCCTGCCGATGCCGCGCCGCCCTATTCCCAAGACGAGCCCGACAGCCCGCACTCCGACTCCCCACACAGCAATCAACGCGACGCGGACGTCTTAAATGATCAACGAGGCGCGGACATCAAACAGCAACGCTGGGGCTTCTTAAACGATCGGCGCGCAGAACTCAATGGTTCAAGCGTAGACTCCCGCGCCGCCGCTATCGACAACTTGGCGCTGCAGCCGTCCGAAAGCAACGGCGCCTCGTTAGAACCACCAGCCATGCGCCTGCCTTCTTTTTCCTTCGCCACCGCGCCACCAGTAGAAGCGCCGAGGAAACCAAACCCGCCTCACCATGAGCGCGGCCCCGAGTCGGGGACCCCGATAATTGCCGCTACAGATGCCATAAACGAGAGTAGTGGTACTAGTCCACTTGACTCATCCGATTGCGTATTGGTGCGCCTTGACGGTCCCGATCTGACCTTTCCTCTGCACACGACGCCGTCCGGCGCGCAACGAAAGCTCTCGCGAATGCTGGCGAAAAAGCGCAGCGACGGCTGCGAAGTCCGCGAAGTGGCCAGTTATTGCACCTCCCCGTCGCCCGACTCGAGCACAGTTGTCGCGGCCGACGCGAGTCGCGCCGCCATCCTGCCGCCAACGTACCTGGACCTCGCGTCGCCCCGCTGGAGAGTCGGCTTCAGCGGAAGCCGCAATGTGCTGGGTCTCGCTGGGTGGCGCCGTGCCGCGGATCTGCAGGTCAGCTCCCCCGCCGGGAGCTCCGCTCAACGAGCCGCCGCCGCCGCCTCCGCCACCGCTGTCGCCGCCGCCGCCTCCGCCACCGCTGTCGCCGCCGCCGCTGCCGCAACAGCGGCGATAAATTCCAGTCTCGGTTTCGGATTGGGGGGGTGCGCGAGTCAACCGCTCGTGGCGAAGGAGGAGGACGAGGGGGAGGATGAAGAACCGCCTCTTGAAGAGGCGCGTGAGACGAAGGGGGAGATGATGAATAGGGCGCTGCCCCGGGGGGGGCGTGCGGATTCCGCAAGCCCGCGTTCTCCGCGCGAGTTCACCCGGCAGCACGCGCACAAGTTTCCGCCACTGGTTGCGCTGAAGGATGCGCAAGCGCTGGTGGAGCGGATGATGGGGGACGCGGAGGGCGGAACGGGGGGAAGCAACGGGGGCAGGACGGATGGAAAGGGAAAGTTCGAAGGACCGTGGGAAATCGTGACGGACGGGTACGTGCGACGATCGAAACGCGTTTGCTTGCTAGTTCAGATTCGAGACGTTACACGTTACAACTACAATTATAACGTCTCGAACCTTCAGGTTCCCACAAATTCCCACAGATGCGTTACACTTCATCGTTTCTGTCATTGTGGATAGGCTGTTATACTTTATTATTCTTTCTGAATTTTGCTGGGACATCTCAGAAGAATTATTCTGTCTGTTACCATCTGCACTTGATGTCTCTTGTCTTCAGGTGCAGCGGGCGTGCTTCCTCCCTTTCCTCTCGTCCAGCTGTCATTAGAGTAGTGGACCACCTGCCTGACGTGGCATGTGCTGACGTGGCAGTGGAGGGGAAGCCGTGGGAGCAGGCTGAGCTGTCAATGAAGGAATGGACGGCAACAGTTTCCATGCTGGTGAGTGTGGGGGTGTGCGTTTTAAGGTAGGGGGGAGGTGGGGAAGAAGGAAAGGGGGTTTGGTAGGATTCAGAGGGGTTGGGGCTGGGAAGGTAGGATACACCCTCTTTTTCTATTGTAATGCGTGTATCCATTTGTACATGCATGTGTGGTGGTGTCCTGTACATTGCTGGCACATCCATTGTTTTTGTTTTTGTTTTAAGCAGGACAACTCGGCCCACCCCCTCTCCCACACAAGTGCTTCAAGTTCACACCCTTTTCACTGTCCAACCAATCAGATGGCAGCGCTGCAAAATGACGACGTTGCTGCTTCTTCTGCTGGTGCTGGTGCAGTCACAGCTGCTACTCCTGTTGGTGCTGCAGCTGGTGGTGCAGAGGAGGAAGGGAAAGCTGAGATGAAGGGCATGGGAGATGCGGAGGAGCCATCTGTTGTTGCGTCACCAACGCCCCGCATCCCACCCCTCTCCGTCAAGCTCCCCCTCGACTCATTTTCGCGCCGTAGGCCGCGCAAAGCCACGTCACCTTCTCAGCATGCCTCGTCACCATCACAACATGCCTCGTCACCCTCACAGCATGCCACGTCACCTTCAGATGAGGCCTGCACCCGACCAAACCCCCTGAATGTAGATCCAAGCCCCTGCACTGGGTCAGATGCACCTCCTGCTGCTGCTTCTGCTGCTGCTGCTTCAGCTGCTGCTGCACCTGAGGGCATGGAATGTGGGTTGCAAGACTCGTTCTATTCGTGCCGCTCCTCCCTCTCCTTCTCATTCGCGTCTGACAGCTTCAACAGCAGCATTCGCAGCAGCAGCATCAGTAGCAGCAGCAGCAGCAACAATGGTAATAGCACGACAGCAGCAGATGTCACAACAACCAGCACCGCACCACCCACGAGAGCAGCAGCAGCAGCAATCTCCCTCGCCTCCATCTTGGCTCATCTCCTCTCCAATGCCCGCTCTCTTGCCGACCCTTCTTCGCCGCCGGGCAGCTTGCGCAAGTCTCTGCTGCTCGCTGAAATGTTTGTTGCTGCCCGCCGGTCTGCCCCTGTGGTAAGCAAGCTCCTCAATTTCAGTAACAGATGAGTGGACTCGAGTCAACTACTGCCAGACGAGAGAGAGAAATGAGACTCTGGGGCTTGTGGAAACACCGGACGGTTGCATGACATGATGACATGATGGCATGATGGCATGATGACATAGTGACCTGATGACATGATGACATGATGACATGCACATGGTAGCACCATCATCCTTGCTCACTATCTTGTCCTTTTCTATTTTCCCGCCCTCTCAGTTCGAAGCCTACCTGGCAGACAAGCCAGGGGGACACGTGGTGGCGTCTGATTGGGCGACGCAGCTCCCAAGGCACCTGGCGGAGGGCGTGCTGGGGGCGTTTGAGTGGGTGGCCGTGGGGCTGGAGAGGGCGGCAGCAGCAGCAGCAGCAGCCGTGCCAACACGCACGAAGATCTCCACCAGGTGAAGAGAGCGAGCTCGTGTTTGAGGTGCCTCTTAGGTTGAGTGGGTCGCTGCTGGAGAGGGCGGCAGCAGTGGCAGGGCAGCAGCGGCAGCAGCCGTGCCAACACGCACAAAGATCTCCACCAGGTGAAGAGAGCGAGCCTGTGTTTGAGGTATTTTTGAGACGTCAGTATGAGGTGCTTCATATGTAGAGTGGGTTGTTGTGGGGCTGAAGAGGGCTGCGGCTGCAGCCGTGCCAACACGCACAACACAAGGGTCTCTAGCCAGTAGAGAAGAGAGTGCTTATTCATACAGCAGAAGCAGCAGTGGCGGTCTACCAGGTAGTGCCGTTGAGGCGCCTCAATAATCAACCGACTAGAAAATCACCTCACTTGGTTGTAATAAGCCTACAAATTCACCAATCAGCCGCTCATTAACCCTTGTCCCCCTCCCCCTTCCCCCTTCCCCTCCTCCTTCCCCCCCCCCCCTTCCCCTCCCCCTCCCCTCCCCCTCCCCACCCCCTCCCCACCCCCTCCCCTCCGCCAGGCAGCAGCTGGCCTCTCTGCTCTCACCGCGCCACCACAGGGCTGCTCCGCTCGCCTCCCCCCGGAGGGCATCCCCCCCTTGGTCATGCAAGCCTACTCATTAGCCCCCTTCCCTTCCCGCTCCTCCTCCCCCACCCCCTCCCCTCCCCACCCCAGGCAACAGCTTGCCTCTCTCCTCCTCTCACCGCGCCACCACAAGGTTGCTCCGCTTGCCTCCCCCCGGAGGGCGTCCCCTCCGCTGCTCTCCCCCCGCAAGTCGTCCCCGCCTCCCACCTCTCCTCCACGTGCCGGCGCACCCGTGGGCGGGCAGGGGGACACAAAGCCGCTGCCCATGGTGGTGCCGCTGCCCATGGTGGTGCGCGTGGTGGGGCACGTGGGGGAGTATGCTGACTGGTGCGTAGGAGGGAAGGGTGTGTAGGGTAGGGTGGGGTCATGTGGTGGGAGGGGGTATTGGGGGGGACATGTGTTGGGGGGGACATGTGTTGGGGGGGACATGTGTTGGGGGGGACATGTGTTGGGGGGGACATGTGTTGGGGGGGACATGTGTTGGGGGGGACATGTGTTGGGGGGGACATGTGTTGGGGGGGACATGTGTTGGGGGGGACATGTGTTGGGGGGGACATGTGTTGGGGGGGACATGTGTTGACTAAGTGTCGCCCCCTGCAGCGCTTCCTTTGAGGCGCCTCAAAAGGTTTGCTTGACTTGGTTTGGTTGACTTGGCTTGGCTTGGTTGACTTGGCTTGGTTGACATGGTTGATGCCTCAACACCTGCTCGCACATCCCAATTGTCTTTCTGGTCTCATCCTCCTGGCCTCCTTCCTCTTTCCCCTTCACCCTTCTCCACCACACACCACCCTAACCACTCCACCCTTCCACCCCACCACCAGGGACACTCCTGCTCCGTTCATCCCTCCACCCGGCCCTAATGTGCCCACAGCTTCGGTCCGAACCTACAGAGGAGCCTTGGCAAGCATCTTCAGGGAGTTTGGAGGAGGGGGAAGAGTGGGCGAGCAGGGTGTGACTATAACGGGAGTGACTGAACGGATACTGGGGGCGCTTATGGGGGTTGTGGAGGGGAAGGCGGTTGCATGTGAGGATGACGTCACCAGGGCACTGTTCATGCTCAACAACACATGCGTCATCCAGCAGTAAGCCATCATCACATCACACCTCCAGCACATGCCTCCGGGTTTCATATGCTTCAAAACCAGAATCCGCTGTAATGTTTTTCACTTCCTCTTCTTCCTTTTGCATCTAGTGACATGGCGTTGTTACTGCAATCATTATTGTGCTCGGGCCCCCGCCTTTTCTAGCCAACTCAGAAATAACTTGCCGCCATTATCCACCCCATCCCCATCCCCATCCCCAATCCCTTTCACCTGCCAATCAGAGCCGGTCAGCGCTTCCATCAACAGAGTCTCTTGATCAGGACCTTGATTGCTCTTCACCTTTTTGCACCGTTTTGCACCGTATTTTCCATGCGTTACTCACACACACACGGTCCTCATCCTCCCGCGCATCCCATTCCATCCCCTGGCCAATCAGGGCCTACCAGCGCTTCCCGCCGCTCACTCCCATGCCGGGCGGGCGGCTGCAGTGGAGAAGCTTGCAGACGTCGGGTGCTCTGCACTGTGGTGCACCATTCTGCACCGCTCTGGGCCCCTAACATTCCTCATCCCCCCTCTCCTCCCATTCTATCTCCTGACCAATCAGAGCGTGCCAGCGCTTCCCATCAATCAGCCCTGTCTCGGCATCGGTGGAGGACCACTCACAGGCCTTCCTGCTCGCAGCTACCAGGAGGGTGAGTCGCAGCTACCAGGAGGGTGAGTCGCAGCTACCAGGAGGGTGAGTCGCAGCTACCAGGAGGGTGAGTCGCAGCTACCGGGAGGGTGAGTCGCAGCTACCGGGAATGTGAGTGAGCCATGCTGATGTGGCGTCCACATGGCAAGTAGGCGCAGATCGCGCACCTTGCCTCAATGTCTCCCCTTCCTGCTGGCTCCCTAACCCATACCTCACCTCCTATCTAGCCCATACCTAACCTACTATCTAGCCCATACCTAACCTACTATCTAGCCCATACCTCACCTCCTATCCAACCCACCTAACCTCCGCTTCCAGTGTCCTCCCAGACCTCCCAACATTCCAAATTCATTGCCCTACACCACCCTCCTTAACCCCTCTCTGCCCCTCTCATCCCTGCATCTCAACCACCCCTGGCCCCCCTCCTCTATGTTAGGGCGTGTAAAATCGTGCCACAACAAATTTTTGGAAAATCCGTCGGGCCGTTATTGGCGAAAGTAACCCTTTTACGACACTCGCAGTGTTTTTGGCGAAGCTCGTTAATTTCGCGAAACCCCGAAATATTTGATGGCCGTTTCAGCGAACCGACACGACAACGACGCCGAGTCGACGCGCAAACAGTCACGAAGTCGACAAGTTAGTGCGACAGATGTGCCCATCGTCGCACAAAGCGCCCTGCGATAGAACGAGTGGTTGTGCCACTACTGGAGTCAAATGTGCGACTGGGTCGCAAAGTGGCTGGTTTGTGTGAGGCTGCCAATTTGACATGTTTGTTCATGCGGCCCGCAAATCGGCCCGCAAACTTGGCAAGTCTAGAAAATGGCAAGTACGGGCCGTTTTGGTGGGCGACCAAATGTCGACCAAGCGGTCGTTGTTCGCGAAAGAAATAACGACCAAAAGTCGTCGGATCTCCAGCCATTTGCAAATTTCGCAAATGGTGCGCGACTTTACACGCCCTTACCGTCCACCACGCCCCTCTGTGTTTCCGTAACCCCTCAAGAGACGCCTCAAATGTCATCTCTTCGCTGCATCTGCGTGTAAGTAGACGACTTTTGAGACGCCTCAAAAAATGTCTTGTCTTCGCTGCATCTCTTCCACAGTCCACCCCTGCTCTCGCCCTCTATGCTCTCCTCCTCCACGCCCCTCAATGCTCTCCTCCTCCACGCCCCTCAATGCTCTCTCCCTCCACGCCCCTCTGTGCTCTCCTCTGACCCTTGTTTTTGCATCCCCATGGCACCCTGCTATCACAGCTGCTGCAGGTGCTACCGTCTCCCGAAAAGAGCCTGAAGTTGAGCCAACGACATGTGGAGGAGAGGTGAGGCGTGGGGGGGGGAGAGGGGAGAGGGGGGGGGTTGATGGGAGGTGGGAAGGTGATTGTAGGTGTTAAGATGAGCTATGCTAGGGCTATCATCACAGCTGCTGCACGTGCTAGGGCTATCATCACAGCTGCTGCACGTGCTAGGGCTATCATCACAGCTGCTGCACGTGCTAGGGCTATCATCACAGCTGCTGCACGTGCTAGGGCTATCATCACAGCTGCTGCACGTGCTAGGGCTATCATCACAGCTGCTGCACGTGCTAGGTCTATCATCACAGCTGCTGCACGTGCTAGGGCTATCATCACAGCTGCTGCACGTGCTAGGGCTATCATCACAGCTGCTGCACGTGCTAGGGCTATCATCACAGCTGCTGCACGTGCTAGGGCTATCATCACAGCTGCTGCACGTGCTGCCATCCCCCGAAAAGAGCCTGAAGCTGAGGCAACAACATGTGGAGGAAAGGGAGGGGAGATCCGGGAAGGTGAGGGGGGGAAGGCAATCCAGTTTGCATCTGTAATACTGAAGGTTTTTACTCTATCGTCAGTCCCGTGGTAATTACTTTCTTATCCGGCATTCATTACAGTGCAACGTGGGAATGGTAGCACGGACCTCTTCTTACTGTTGCAGGAGCTGATGTCTGACGATACCTGTGTATGTGATGTGCATACCAGGGACGTCTCTAATCATAGACGGTCAAAACAAAACTCATAAATGTTGCACATGTCATCGCGGCGCCCTCCTGTGTTGCATATGAAAGATGCATATTACCGCCCTCCTGTGATGCGCATAACTCGGCACTAATTTTTCCTCACTCTGTTCCCCCATGTCCCCAGGCTTTCTGAATTCAACAAGGAGTTTGAGTCGCTCTCGCTGCAGCAGCTCTCCTGGCCAATAGTGGACGACGACTGTCGAGTGGCAATGCGCAAGAGATGGGCCGCTCATATTGAATCCGTCTACAGCGATTTTGTCGACCCTCACTTGTAAGTTCTTCATTATCCCGCGAGGTATATACACACGCATATGCACAGAGTACTTAAACCTGTATTGTGCAGGGTTTCTTCCATCAAATGATGCACACGCACAAGGTCCACAACATTAATCTTTAAATCATCCCAGTTGGTTCTCCTTTTGCCGTTTTCCAGGCACTGGTTACCCGACTCTCCCGCCTTCCGCCTGGATCCGCCAACACTGGAGCGCCTAATTCTGAGGACATTCTTTCCACGCCCCCGTTCATGCACCACCACAGCCCATTCTAGATTCTCACATGCAGATGAGTCTAGCTTGCTTTCATTGTCACCTTTGCCTCATTCATGCCCTCTTATTGAAACAAAGGGAAGCAATGTATGCTGATATGTTTACAATTGTATATAAATTACTAGACTAATATGTAAAACAAGCTGCCAGGTTGGAAAGAGGAAGAATATGGTCCAACAGTAATTTTGGTAGCTATTCCATTCATGATATAGAAAAGTGTGTTGCCGGCAAAAAACATACATCACCAAACCAAAACGAGGACGGTATGTGCGGTGCTGCTCCTTCGTGGGATGTAGGTAAAATTCTCATGCACGCGGCTATTTTCCTACCCTTGAGGGTTGGGGGAAATGAGAGATCCCCTCCCACCAACTACAAGACTGCTTGCAGACTGGCTCATCGTGACTCGTGAGTCGTGTAGTCATCACAAGAAAAATCGCATACTCGTGCATTGCACGCTAAGGACGTGCCACATTTCCCCTGTCTTGGGTGGCTGCTGCCTCCATGCATTCGTGTGAATGCCGATGAATCACCTCTACCATGGTTTCCTGTGCCGCGGTTCGGCACAATCACACTTGCTACCGGTGACTGCGATTCGCTGGTTTCGATACGCGCCCGTTAGTTTCTCAGTCGACCCCATACTCGGACCCTCATTGATTCAGATGACGAAGACAGGCCTACGACACAGAATACCTTCTTTCTCCTTTCCCACTTCACCACGGCATACCTATCACCAAGAACCAGCGTACGATAACACAAAAGTTTAGATTCTTTCCATGGCTTAGTCGTCATGGCGACGAGATACAGTTGTCCGACGTCTAATAAGGACGTCAGTAGATTGGCATCTGCTAGCACCTTCAATGACCCAGTAACAAATCCTAGTGATGCTGCTGATGTCCCGCTCTTCGACGGCGTCGCTTATAGCTTGCAGAATGGATGCGTCGAGGCAAATTTCTGCAAACACATCGTTGTTTCGAGTCATCACGGCAATACCGAGAGAACAGCCGATTCTGGCGTAGACCTGTTCGAATCAAGTGCCTGGATTCCGACTGGCGGCCCACACCAGCCACAAGCTTCAGCCATGCCACCCCTACCTAGAATAGAGGCCTGCCATGGAAGGCCCGTGCTTTTACGAATGCTGGCGAAGAAGCACTACAGCTATCGTGCAACGCGCAAGGAACCGTTCGTATCGCCAGTGCCACAGCATGAAGACTACATTGTCCAGTCTGAGCCGTATCCCCACATTCCCGTCTCACTACCGCAGACCTTTCTCGACCTGCAATCGAGTCGTAAACGTAGATTTAACTTGTTCCAGTTCCAGTAATACCTAACTGTTGATATTGTACAGCGAATTTAGAAAGCTTGCTTTCTTGTGTTTGCTATGGCAACGAGCTTCGTTTCAAATGGGCATTACATCATTCTCGTCCGGGATATATATGGTACCTACATTAGACATGACAACATGCAATTTTTGCTAGGGTGGGTGGGTGGGAAATAAAAGACATTTGAAATTTCAAACGAAGACGTGGGTGGAGGCCAAATGGCCTCCATCCCCTGCTAAATAATTGGCGAATAACGTCTAGCATTTCACCGTTGCCATTGCTGCATTACAAAGCAGCTTCGCTTTCAAAATACACATTTTTAGAAAGTGTTAACACACTTTCAAAAAAAATATTTCTAAATAATCAAGCAATATCTTTTGTTCAGATGCTTCAATCAACATAACGTAGGTCAGTCAGCGGACGGCTATGGCAAAACCTTTCAACAAAATTGTTACACTGCATCCACTGACATGTCCATCTGGGTTTGAACTATAAAACTACACAGTTGCCCATCTAGCAAGATCGCCATGCCATGAGCCGCAAGCTCTCAGCAATCCCAGACAGCGACCCCCCAGCGCACCCAACCAGATGATCAACCACCTTACTTCTTCTTGGCAGCGGCCTTGGTAACCTTGGCACCGGTGGGGTCCTTCTTCTCGACGCTCTTGATGACACCGACAGCCACTGTTTGTCGCATGTCACGCACGGCGAAGCGACCAAGAGGAGGATACTCGGAGAAGGTCTCGACGCACATGGGCTTGGTGGGTACCATCTTCACGAAGCAAGCATCACCGTTCTTCACGAACTTGGGCTCCTTCTCCAGCTCCTTGCCGGAACGCCTGTCCACCTTGGTGATGATCTCAGAGAACTTCACGGCAATGTGGGACGTGTGGCAATCAAGCACCGGAGCGTAGCCGTTGCCGATCTGGCCTGGGTGGTTCATGATGATGACCTGCGAGGTGAAGTTGGCAGCCTCCCTGGCGGGGTCGTTCTTGGAGTCAGAGGCAACGAAGCCACGCTTGAGCTCCTTCACCGACACGTTCTTCACGTTGAAGCCAACGTTGTCACCGGGGCCAGCCTCGGGCAGAGACTCGTGGTGCATCTCCACCGACTTCACCTCAGTGGTCAGACCGCTGGGAGCGAACACGACGACCATACCGGGCTTCAGCACACCAGTCTCCACACGACCGACCGGGACTGTTCCGATACCACCGATCTTGTACACGTCCTGAAGGGGCAGACGCAGGGGCTTGTCGGACGGCCTCTTGGGCTCGGACACCTGATCCAGAGCCTCCAGCAGGGTGGGGCCCTTGTACCAGTCCAGGTTGGTGGAGCGCTCAATCATGTTGTCACCCTCGAAACCGGAGATGGGCACGAAGGGAATCTTGTCGGGGTTGTAGCCGACCTTCTTCAGGTACGACGACACCTCCTTCACGATTTCCTCGTAACGAGCCTTGGAGTACTTGGGGGTGGTGGCATCCATCTGGGACAAGGCAACGGATATTTATGTTAGCACGGGACCCAGATCGGTGATGTGTATGGGAAAAAATTGAGAACTAATGGTCCGTAAGGTGTATGATTAAGCCAGAAATAGGTCAAAGATACGCGAAAAAGTTGATCCGTAATTTTAGGCTTACCTTGTTGCAGCAGCAGATCATCTGCTTCACACCGAGGGTGAACGCCAGCAGAGCGTGCTCACGGGTCTGACCGTCCTTGGAAATACCGGCCTCAAAACCACCAGTAGTGGAGTCGATGATCAGAACAGCGCAGTCAGCCTGTAACAACAATACATACATGAATCAGATCCTGCACTCAAAGGCATATATGCAAAGTGAATTTCAAATTTTGGAACAAAAATGACAGCGAGATTGACTCACCTGCGAGGTACCCGTGATCATGTTCTTGATGAAATCACGATGGCCGGGAGCGTCAATGACCGTGCAGTAGTACTTGTTGGTCTCGAACTTCCACAGAGCGATATCGATGGTGATACCACGCTCACGCTCCGCCTTCAGCTTGTCCAGCACCCAAGCGTACTTGAAGGACCTCTTGTTCATCTCAGCGGCTTCCTTCTCGAAACGCTCAATCACACGCTTGTCAATCCCACCCAGCTTGTAGATGAGATGACCAGTCGTCGTCGACTTGCCGGAGTCGACATGGCCGATAACGACAATGTTGATGTGCAACTTTTCCTTACCCATGGTGATGAACTGAAGGAAAAGGGGGGTTTAGAAAAAAAATATGTGTCAGATCTTGCTGACGTTCAACTTAATCTAGCAAGCGTGAAGGACGGCAGGCAATCTTATACGTAGTCGAAACAACACGTTCTCTTAGCAATTCCTCAATCTCCTTAACCATGAAATATGTTCAGTGCGTACCTGATAGGGAAAGGGGGATCTGAAGTTGCGTAAGGGAGGGTATGAGGGGCTAACGAGAGCCCTGAAACCTGAAGTTCCAAAAATGAACCCCTACAGATGGGAATGATGTCTAATGAAGTAGGGGCAAAGCAGCAGAGCTGGTTGGAGGTGGAATCTCGAATGACCCACACCTCGAATCTCAAGGCGAGGTCTGGAAGCAGGGTGCAGGCTGCTGCTGGCCTTGGTGGTGTGGCTTGGGTTCGGCCCGGAAGTTCGTTCAATTAGCTCCGTCAGGAGCCTTGTTTTTGTCGCAAGCCACGTGTACTTGCGAAATTGTTTTAACGCCGTCAAGGAGCTCCTCGCTGAACTTGTCGCTGATGTGGCGATTCCCATTTTCCAACCTCCTTGGGCGGTTTGGAAGCAAACTAGCGCTGTTTATCATGCGGTAAACCCTCTCAAAACCTCCGCAGCCTAAGTAACCAACCACTCTTACTGTTATGAGTTGTAAAAGAGAGTGCGCAGGTAAACGAATAAAGAGGCTCTGACTGAATGAACCTAGAATACAATGAATGCACAGACTAATGTAGGGCTAGCCTAACCAGGAGGAAACCTCGGGAGGCGAGGTTGGGTGCAAGTTTGGCGATGGAAATGCCGAAGGCGACGCGAGGAGCCTCGGCAGCGTTGAAATCGGCCGAACGTGCGAACTCCGAAAATCGGGCTGTACGCGAAGCAGTCAACCCCGATAAGGAATTCGGGGAAATTCCTTACACCACCCCCCCCTTTAAGAAAGGCGGTCAATATCCGCAGCACGCTTGCGCGCCAAGTAATCACCAACAAGTGGCGAGGCGTCGAGCGAGGCGGATGGCACCCACGTGTCGTCCTCACTGGTGCGATCAGTCCAGCGGATCAAGAAATCCACGTGTCGGCCAGCTGCGTCAAGTCGAACCCGATGAGCCAGGATTTTCGAAGGGTCGAGTGTCGGCTCCGGAACAGGTCGTGCTGTTGGGATAGCTTGCTGACGTGCGATGTCTGTCGTGGCTGGCACGAACTTGCGAAGAAGGCTGACGTGGAAGGCGTCATGAATTCGCTGTCAGATGATTATATTGCTGATGCATATATTTAAGCTGTAGTGGGGTAGTCCATAGGGGGTACAACCCAACTAGGGTTGGTACTTGTACTCGTTTCATTTCATAGTGCATTCATTCTCTCTCTCTAATCTCAACATGGTATAGAGCGGGTCCTTCCTAAGGACCATTTTTTAAGGGCCCACCCACGAAATTTTCGCTGCCCGGAGCGCGCCCTTCTCTCCCTGAAGCGCGCTCCCCCTAGTCCTTCTCGCGCTGCCCTTGTGGCCCCCGCGAGTCGCGCGCGCGACCCTTTTTATTTTCGCGCGCGCGGCCCGGGCCACGTCGCGCTGGCCTTACGGCCGCGTCGCGCCGCCCTCACGGCTCTGCTGCGTCGCGCCGCCCTCGCGGCCCCCTAGCGCCGCCCACGCGGCCTCATCGCCTGCCTCTGCAGGCCCCGACGTCGCCGCTGCCGGCCCCGCAGCTGTACCTAACGGCCCTGCCGTCCCCTTATGACGGCCCCGCCGTCCCTTTCTGCCGGCCCCTCCGCTGCGCTCGACGGCCCCGCCGTCCCCTCTGCCGGCCCCGCCGCTGCACCCGACGGCCCCGCCGTCCCCTCTGCCGGCCCCGCCGCTGCTTCAGACGGCCCCGCCGCTGCACCTGACGGCCTCGCCGTCCCCTCCGACGGCCCCGCCGCTGCACCTGACGGCCCCGCCGTCCCCTCTGACGGTCCCGCCACTGCACCTATCGGCCCCGCCACTACCCCTGACAGCCCCGCCACTGCATCTCCCGGCCCCGCAGCTGCATCTCCCGGCCCCGCCGCCCCAGCAACTGCGCCGCCCCAGCAGCCGAGCCGCCCCAGCAGCCGAGCCGCCCCAGCAGCCGAGTCGCCCCAGCAGCCGAGCCGCCCCAGCAGCCGAGCCGCCCGAGCCGCCCGAGCCGCCCGAGCCGCCGAGCCGCCCGAGCCGCCCAGCAGCCGAGCCGCCGAGCCGCCCGAGCCGCCCGAGCTGCCTGCACTGCCCTGTCTGGTGAGCACTGAGCTTTACTCTGCGCACTGCCCTCACCCTACTGCTGTCATGGCTACCCCCAGTGTCCTCACCTTTGACGCTGAGGGCAGAGCCATCGACTTTGACGTGTGGGTAGACGACCTACTGCTTTTGCTACAGTGCGACAGAGCTGACGGCCTCTCTCTCTTTGATCTCACTTCTGGTGCCTCTCCCGCCCCTGCTGCTACTGAGGATGCCACTGTTCGCTCACAGTGGGCCACACGCGATGCTGCTGCACATCTTGCTGTGCGTCGCCACCTCCCTCCCTCTGAGCGTGCACACTTTGGGTCGTACAAGAGTGCTCAGACCTTGTACGACGCCGTTATTGCACGCTACTCCACCCCTGCCACTGCTGCACTGAGCCGCCTCATGCTACCGTACCTCTTTCCCGACCTTGCTTCTTTTGCCACAGTCGCCGACCTCATTACCCACCTGCGCACTAGTGACGCTCGCTTTCGCGCTGCGCTTCCTGCTGAGTTTTGCGCCAAGAACCCCCCCCCCAAGTACTTCACTCTCTACTACATTGTCACCCGCCTCCCTGACTCCCTTCGCGGAGTCAGGGACGACTTACTCTCAGTCTGCCCCACCACTCTCACTGTTGACCTCCTCGAGAAGTCCCTCCTAGCAGCCGAGAAGAGCATTCTCGCTGTAGGGGCCTCTCGTGGTGACCCGCGCACCCCCATCTTTGAGGGGTGTTCCCCCTCCCCCCTCCTGCCCTCTGTCGCCTCTGCTGCTACGGCCGACCTCGTTGGTTTTGAGTCGGTCGGTGCGGCGTCTGCCCCCAGCGGGAGACGTCGCTCTGGCAAGGGCAAAGGGGGCAGGGGCGGTGGGGGAGGCGGCGGGGGCGGTGGAGGCGGCGGTGGAGGCAGCGGAGGAGGTGAGGGTGGTAGCGGGAGTGGTGGCGGGAGTGGAGGTGTCAGCGGCGGCAGTGGAGGCGGGGGCGGCAGCGGCGGTGGTGGTGGGAGTGGAGGCGGAGGCGGTGGTGGCGGCGGCGACGGTGGGAGTGGCGGTGGCAGCGGAGGTGGCGGCGGCGGCGGCGGAGGAGGCGGCGAAGGTCGTGGCTCGTCGCGGAGGAGTGGCTCCGGTGGTGGTCAGCGCCAGCAGCAGCAGCGTGGTCAGGAGACCCTCTCCCCGCAGCAGCTCCGTGAGTGGTACGCTGCACATCAGAGGGGTGGGGGTCCTGGTCCGTGCACCTACGTCCTGCGCACAGGCGACCGTGCGGGTGAGCCGTGTGGTGGTCCACACTCCTCCCAGCGCTGCTTCGGCGGCCTGACTGACGCTTGGCGCCGCCAGTTTCCTGATGCCTCTGAGATCCCTCGCTGGGACCAGCTGTCTAGGGCAGGAGTAGCTATCTTTGATCTTGACTTTGATGCTATTCTTCGTGCCATGTATGCTGTGACTATTAGTGAGGAGGGTGACTGTTACCGGTGTTTCCCGCCCGACCCGAGCATTGGTACTGCGGCTCTAGGTGCTGTTGAGGCTGCTGCTCCAGGTGCTGTTGAGACTGCGGCTCTAGGTGCTGTTGAGGCTGCTGCTCTAGGTGCCAGTGAGTCTGTGTCCCCAGGTGCTGGTGAGTCTGCTCTCTCAGGTACAGCGTCGGCTCCGCCCTCTCTCACCTTCACTCTTGACTCAGGAGCGTCTCGCTCCTTCTTTCGAGACCGCACCACACTCACGCCGCTTAGTCGGCCTGTGGCAGTCTCCCTGGCGGACCCCTCTGGGGGTCCTGTTCTGGCTCGCTACTCCACTGTCTTTCCGTGCCCTGCGGTCCCGTCTGGCTCCCTGTCCGGTCTCTACCTCCCCTCGTTCTCTACGAACTTGGTGGCGGGTGCTGACCGACAGGATGCAGGGGTTGACCAGTTCACCCCTGCACGCCGACGGGACACCCACTGCACGGAGGCGGACACGGGTCGACACTTGACCACATTCACACGTGGGCCGGGGTCGAGCCTGTACACGCTCACAGTTCCAGTCTCCTCCTCCTGCGTCTGGTCAGGTAGCTGCGTCGGGTCAGGTGTTTGCTGCAGCGTCCAGGTCTGGTCCTGAGTCTGCCCCCTGCTCGTGTCGCCTCCTATCCCACGAGACCCTCCTGTGGCACCACAGGATGGGTCACCCCTCCCTGCCTCATCTCCGGGGCATGGCCTCTCGCCTTCTTGTCTCTGGCCTTCCCCGGTCCCTCCCTCCCCTTCCTCCGGGGCCTGGCCCTCCCTGTGTCCCCTGTGTCGAGGGTCGCCTGCGAGCTACCCCTCACTCCTCCCCGTTTCCTCCGACGGAGGCCCCGATGCAAACGCTTCACATGGACGTGTGGGGCCCAGCCCGCGTCCGTGGACAGGGTCACGAGCGCTACTTCCTGCTGGTGGTTGACGACTACTCGCGTTACACCATAGTCTTCCCCTTGCGCAGCAAGGGTGAGGTCACTGAGGTGTTGATCGACTGGATCCGCGCAGCTCGTCTCCAGCTCAGGCGGAGCTTCGGCTCGGACTTTCCTGTTTTGCGTCTTCACTCGGACAGAGGCGGAGAGTTCTCCTCCGGCCTTCTGCGAGCCTACTGTCGGGCACGAGGCATCCGCCAGACCTTCACGCTTCCGGACTCTCCACAGCAGAATGGGATTGCTGAGCGCCGCATCGGCATTGTCATGGACGTCGCCCGTACGTCCATGGTGCATGCGGCTGCCCCCCCATTTTCTGTGGCCGTTTGCGGTTCGGTAAGCCGCGCATCAGATCAACCTTCAGCCCAG